CTAAGGCTCGCAGCATGGCTTCTCGCAGGCCGCTGTTGCCTGCGACCGCGGCACCCCATGGTTCCTCTATTCCTTTAGCCCACAGTCGTACCCTGCCCCGACGCATGAGCTCCCAGGTTCGGCAGATCCAGGGTAGTAGCGCCAGGGCGCGGTCGCCGCCGTCGGCAAGTGCGCTTGCTCCCTTGGCGGTGGCTGGCTTGGGCTGGATCATGACCATGGCCTGGAGGGCCTGCCGCGGCCATGTCACGTCGCGGTCGATGGTGTTAAGTAGCTGGGTTATCTCGTCTCTGCCTGCCGCAGGTAGTCGTCGTGCGTCGCTGGTGTTGAGTCGGTCCGTACCTCGCCCCTTGTCTGGTATGCCAACGATGGCATCGTCGAATTGCTCCCTGCCCCATGTAGTGGTTGGAGTCGTCAGGGCTTGTTCTCGTAGTTCCTTGAGCAGCTGGGTGTGAGTGATGTGGTCGCCGTGGTCGTCGCTCCAAATGTTGCTGAACGTCGTGCGCTTGAGGTCCGTGCGCTCAATAGTGGAGGTCGCTGTCACGGTGCCGTCAATCATTTCGTCCTCATGCCGCATGCTGGGTTTCGTCATCTTGTGCATGGTGCCGTTGCCGCAGCTGTTAGCAAGCCATGTCGCGTAGTCGCGTGCGTTGCATCTCAGGTCGCGCCGGATCGCTTGGATTGCTTCCTGTGCTGCTTGCGTCGCCATGCCCTCGATGGTGTCCGTAGGTACGTCCTGGATGTTGGTGAGTCGGTCTTTCCATAATTCTCGGTGCAATCTGGCGGCGTGTGTCGTTTTGGCTCCAGCTGATGGTACTCCGTCGTGCGCCAGGTGTCGACAACATGCTTCCAGGGCGCGCGCATCTTCTTGCCCGGCTCCTCGTTGTCTTAGACGGAGAAGCGCCGCGAGGGAGGATTCAGCTCGAGCCCACCAGTTGGCCGTGTATGTGGCGTACCTTGGTCGTCGTATCCCACGCTCTTTTTGTGTGCATTGTTTGAGTTGGTAAGGCTGTCCTCTGCCTCTGTAACGCTGCTGCTCGCTCTCGTGTATCTTGTAAGCCTTGCAATAAAAGTCCCCCATGTGCTGCGTGAGCGTGTGGAAGTTGTGGCTGGCTTCGTGGTGCTCTTCATGGATTGCTTGGTATGCTGCGCTGTCCGTGATGTACGTCGGCGCTGCAGTAGTAGTAGCGGTGTTGCCGTGGTCGTACCCGGTCTCGTACCAGAGCTCATGCATGGTCCTGGTGTCGTCCTCGGGTGCTTGCGCTGGTAGTTGCTTTGGCTAGTCATTCTTGCTCATGAAGAAGTTCTCGAGCTCGCTGTCGTTGTCATCCTCTGCTTCGATGGGTGCGCCTTCGGCTCTCTCCTGATCATGTGGTGGGCCTTCGCCGCCCATGAGGTCTGCGTTTTCTTCGTCGGAGTCCATGGGGTCGAAGTCCTCGTCCATTGTAGTCCTGGGTCTCGAGACTTCTGCTGTCGGTGCTGGCGCGTCTGGATATCTGGTCCAACCATTCGGTGACAGCGCCTCCCATCTCTGGTTCATGAAGTCGTCGTCGTCAAGAGTATCGTCTTGTGAGGTGGTAGTCTCGCAGCCGTCACTGTTGTCGTGCGAGCTGGTGTGCGACTTCCTTACATGCTCTGCTCGTTTCCGTTGTCGCTTGCTTTGAGGGTCTGGTGGCTGCCGCGGTAAACGCGGGTGTCGGAATGGATATGGCAAGGTCAGCTGCCGAGTGAGGTTCAACATGGCCTCGCCCGTCAGCGCGATGACCTGGCCGATGTGTGGTCCCCATGGGACGTCGCTGACTGGTCTCAACGAGTGAATGTGTTGTCGAGCCGATGGGCTGACCACAAGGTAGTCTATGAGCGATGGCGTCGCGTCCTTCTTGAAGCACGCGGCCGCCTGATCGCTGATGGAGAGGATGATGCCTCCTAGCGCTTCTGGCCATCCTGGGGCGTCGAATGCGGCTGGGGAGACGTTGAAGTCGCCTGCCAATATCCAAGGAAGATTCAGTATACGCAGAAACTGTCCGATCTCCTTCAACCTGTCCGCGTTGGTGCCTGACTTGAAGGGCTGTTTGGTCTCCAAATATACGCTGATGACGACAATGGAGTATCCCTTCATGTGCCAGAGCATCCGGATCCAGCCCGTGAAGTTGAGGAGCTCGGCTTTGGCTAGAGGCGATGCGTCTGCCGTCGAAGACGACGCGCTGCCCTTAAACGCCATCTCACGGAAAAACTTGGTTCTCAAATTGTTCTTCACCATTGCAGTCACCTGGCCACAGGAGCCCCTCTCGGATGTCCTCGGCTGCCGTGAAGCTGCAAAAACAAGCCTTGAGTCCCAGCGTTGCGACAGTTGCCTCGGCATGCTGGAGCTCGTGGTGCTTGAGGTGCGTTTCTTGTAACAAGTAGCCGTCGTACAGAGCCCGTCCGCTGGGTCGGTGCGCTAGTAGACAATCCCGTAGCCATTCAGTTACTTTTGGTCTCCATGTAGTGACATTGCCAACAAATATTGTGCGCTGCCCTGGGGTGGCCGAGCGGTTGGCTGTCATGCCACCCCGCAGTCGTTTCTAGTTGGGCGCAGCAGCAGGCAACTTCCCCTCGCGGACCTGGCGGAGGAGCTCGTCACGCTGCTCGGGAGTTGTAGGGGTCCCTTCAGCGGGCGTCGGTGCTGGCGTACACGTCGGCGCGCATGCCGAAGCTGCTGAAGATGCGGCTGTCTGCTGCTGCTTCTGCTGATGCTGCTGGTCTGTGGTCTTGCGCTTCTTGGCTTCCCTGAGCCTCGTCGCATCGGCCATGGCCTTCGCCTTGGCCTCGTCTATGCGCGCCTTGATCTGGCCCGCGTAGGTCGGTGCTCCAGCCTGCAGGTCTCTGGTGGCTGCCTGTTTGGCCTCCAAGATCTCCGTCTTCAGCTCCTCGTCCTCGTCGCCCTGCAGCATGTCCTCCATGTCCAGGTCGATGACCCCGTTCTGCTGCAGGTCGTGCTCGGAGGAGTTCAGGAGCTGCTCCATGAGGCTCTTCGGCTTGTTCTCCATCATGATCTCGTTCAGGTTGGCCTTCGCCTGCTCGGGCGCCTTGCCCTTCTCGATCATGTCCTCGTACGCCTTCGCGACGAGTCCCTGCAGTCTGCTGTGCTCGTCGCATGCCTTGTGGGACTCATTGTAGGCCACCTCTTGCGCATTCGCCGCTGCAGTGCACCGTAGTTCCGCAGGTTGCTGAGGTCGAACTGGCTGCAGCGCTTGGGCGAGCGTAGTCAGATGTGCACCCAGCGCTGTCACCGCTGTGTTGGCACCCAAACCCATCTGCTGTAGCTGTTGTCTCAGCGTCGTCATCATATTGGTAATATCCTGCGTCTGGTGCTGGTTGCTGCTGCTGCTGCTGCTGGTCTCGCCGCTCTGCTGGCGCTCCTGCTCTTTGATGTAGTTCGGCTTCTTGACCAGTTTGCTGCAGTGCCAGCGTTTCCAACCGTTCTTGGCCAACGTGCTATCGTAGGTCCACTTGTTGCAGCTGCGGCACACCGAGTACTGCGAGCCACCACGCCGTGCCATCACGTCGACGTCGGCGGTCGGTGGGCAGCTTCCGTGGTGACGTGCCAGCCTGTGGATGTCCGCGGCTGCCCGCAGGCGTCGCCGCGATGCGGCGCGCTGGCGCCGCTCCCTGCGGTACCACGCGGGCGAGGGATGCCGCCTCTGGCCTCGGCGGCCCTCCGTGGGCCTGGGGGCTCCCGTATGGCGCGGGCCGCCGCCGCGCCGCCGCCAGGGCAAAATGCTGCGCGGGGGCGGGGCGGGGCCACGCTGGGGAGCCACCTATAAGGATGAGGAGGAAGGAGGGAGGAGGAGGAGGAGGAGGAGGAGGAGGAGGAAGAGGTTCTGACGCCACAGGGAAACCTTAGGCTGGTCAAACAAAAAAGACGAGGAGGAGGAGGAGGCGGAGGAGGAGTCGGAGGAGGAGGAGGAGGAGGAGAGGAGGAGAAGTAAGAGGAGGAAGGGGGGAGGAGGGAGGGAGGGAGGGAGGAGGGAGGAGGAGGGAGGAGGAGGAGGAGGAGGAAAAGGAGGAGGAGGAGCAGCAGCAGGAGGAGAAGGAGGTTCTGACGCCTCAGGGAAACCTTAGGCTGATCAAACACAATAGAAGAGAAGGATGAGAAGGATGATGATGAGGAGGAGGAAGAGGAGGAGGAGGAGAGGAGGAGGAGAAGGAAGAGGAGGAGGGAGGGAGGGAGGGAGGAGGAGGAGGTTCTGACACCACAGGGTAACCTTAGGCTGGTCAAAAAAAGCAAGAAGAGGACGAGGAGGAGGAGGAGGAGGAGGAGGAGGAGGAGGAGGAGCAGGAGGAGGAGGAAGAGAGGAGGAAAGGAAAGGGAGGAGGGAGGGGGGGATGAGGAGGAGGAGGTTCTGACGCCACAGGGAAACCTTAGGCTGGTCAAACAAAAAAAGAAGAGGAGGAGGAGGAAGAGGAGGAGGGAGGGAGGAGGGGAGGAGTTCTGACGCCCCAGGGATACCTTAGGCTGGCCAAAAAAAGAAGAGGAGGAGGCAGAGGAGAGGAGGAGGAGGAGGGAAGAAGAGAAGGAAGAGGAGGGAGGGAGGGAGGGAGGAGGAGGAGGTTCTGACGCCACAGAGAAGGAGGAGGAGGAGGAGGAGGAGGAGGAGGAGGAGGAGGAGGAGGAAGAGGCTTGTCAAAACAAAAAGAAGAGAGGAGGAGGAGGAGGAGGAGGAGGAGGAGGAGGAAGGAGGAGGAGGAGAGGAGGAGGAGGAGGAGGAAGGAGGAGAGGAGAGAAGGAGAAGGAAGAGGAGAAGGAGGGAGGGAGGGAGGGAGGAGGAGGAGGTTCTGACGCCACAGGGAAACCTTAGGCTGGTCAAAACAAAAAGAGGAGGAGGAGGAGGGAGGAGGAGGAGGGGAGGAGGAGCGGAGGAGGAGGAGGAGGAGGCCTGGGCTCGGCCTCGATTGCCCCGCTTCCCGCCGCCTCCCCGGCTCCCGCAGGGGGGGGGGGGGGAGGGGCCCAGAGGTCGCGCCTGTGTTCCCTGGCCTCCGGCCCTCCCTGGTGGGCGGCCGCGGGGAGGCGGGGGCCGGCGACGCTGCTGCGTCGCCTGCGCGGCGGGGAAGGGGGGGGGGGCCTCCTCGCGGTCCTCCTCCCCAGAGGGCCGAGGAGGGCAGGATGTTTTTTCAGTCCGGCGGTTTCTCCTGGATCCTGGCCTCCAGGGCCCGTCATCGGGCGCCGGGGCCTCCAAACATGGATCCGGGAGGAGAAACCACCCCCGGGGAAGGGGTCGGGACCTCTGGGGCCGCGGCTTGAAAAAATCAAGCGTCGGATGCCTGGGTCCCTACCAGACCACCCCAACCCAACCCGAAGACCCGAATTTCGGGTTGGGGGGGGTAAGGGTTCCACATGTGTTTTTTCGATGTTTCCCGACCCCCCCCACTATAAATCGAGGGCAAATCTGAGCCTTCGGGTTGGGTTGGGGTGGTTTGGTGGGTGGTGAATGCCTGGGTCTTCGTCCTCCATTCGGCGCTGGACAGGCGTAGGCTTGCTCGAGCCGCCGCGTCCTGGAGGCCGCGATGCGAGAGAGAGTGGCTGCTCGGAGCGCAGCGCCCCGTTCACAGGAGGGTCGGGCCCGGGTGCTGCAGCAGCGCGCGTCGGCGAGAAGCAAGACCTGGAGGACAGCTGGGAGCAGCAGGGACTCAAGAGTATGCTGCAGCGCCAGGGTGTGGCGAGGCGGACTCCTCCTCCTCCTCCTCCTCCTCCTCCTCCTCCTCCTCCATCACCTCTTCCTCCTCAGTCGGCGGGGCGTACCAAGAGGCATCGTCGTTGCCGGCGCCTGCCTCAAGGACGGAGAAGGGCTAGGTGCGCAAAGTGCTCAGCGACCCTGGTCCGTCGTCCAATTATTTTCTCGGTCTTCACCCGATCCGACTCTGGTGAGCATATCAGGTTCGAATATACCGCTGCCAAGGTTAGCCAAAAAGGGGGCCGAACCCGTCGCGATCTGTGCATGGATCCGTTGGGGCCAACGAGGCGTTTCAGGGGCGTGCGCCGCAAGCTCATCGTCTCAGTAGGAGTCGAGCTGCGCAGGAAGTCGTCGCTGCCGGCGCAGACGCCCAATCCCACGCTCTGGTCGACCGCGAGCCGCGGCCGTGGGCTGGCATTTGGACCACTCGCGACTGTTTTGGGTTGCCTCTGTCTGGGGAGGCCCAATGCTGGCCAGCCCAGCCCGCGATCACGCCCGAACAGGTGCGTGAAAGTGTTGGAGGATGTTTGGCGCGCGTGCGGCTGCGGGGCCGTCGCGCTATCCGAGGGGCCCTTCGATGGCCTCGCCTGTGTGTGTGACATCTGCGAAGCCCACCTCGCTTGGCCGCGCGAAGGGGTTTGGACGGAGAGGGCCCGTTTGGCCAAACCATGAGGCAGCAACAAGCGAATCGCCCTCATTCAGAATCTCTGTCGTGTTTGGGGAAAGGTGGGGAAGCCTATTACCTGCGAGGTGCAACGTGAGAATGGATGCCTCGGGATATGGGGCACCATGAGTAGGCACAGCTCCACCGACAATGCCTTCGATCAAACTTTGCACGCCGAGCTCGCCACCCTTCTCGGAGACCTGTCGGTGTCCGTATTGCTTGACATGATCAAATGTTTCGAGAGGATCCGGCGTTCTCAACTAGTCAAATAAGCGGTTGCTCTAAATTCCCCCCGGCTAGTGTGGATGCTTGCTGACATTTGCAGACAGCCCAGAATAATGGCAGCCTACGGGAGCTTCTCCGAGCCTGGCTGGATGCAGCCACGCTACTGGCATTTTGTTCTTACATGCTCTTAGGACGCTCAGGCGCTTGAATCATATTTCATATTGCATCGCTCCTCGTGTACTTGTGGACGATGTGTCGTTGCACTTTGTGCCAACTTCGCCTGCCGAACTGCCGCAGCTTGTCAAAGGAGTTCAAATATTCTCCTCAGACGTTGCCGAAACAGGGCTGTGGCAGCAGCCCCAGTAGTCGGGAATCGTGGCTTCATCGTCGAGAAGAGGAAATGGTGAGCTCTTAATGCTGCCGGCCACGGTGAACCCAGATGGCCCGTTTGGCCAAACCATGAGGCAGCAACAAGCGAATCGCCCTCATTCAGAATCTCTGTCGTGTTTGGGGAAAGGTGGGGAAGCCTATTACCTGCGAGGTGCAACGTGAGAATGGATGCCTTGGGATATGGGGCACCATGAGTAGGCACAGCTCCACCGACAATGCCTTCGATCAAACTTTGCACGCCGAGCTCGCCACCCTTCTCGGAGAACTGTCGGTGTCCGCATTGCTTGACATGATCAAATGTTTCGAGAGGATCCGGCGTTCTCAACTAGTCAAATAAGCGGTTGCTCTTAATTCCCCCCGGCTAGTGTGGATGCTTGCTGACCTTTGCAGACAGCCCAGAATAATGGCAGCCTACGGGAGCTTCTCCGAGCCTGGCTGGATGCAGCCACGCTACTGGCATTTTGTTCTTACATGCTCTTAGGACGCTCAGGCGCTTGAATCATATTTCATATTGCATCGCTCCTCGTGTACTTGTGGACGATGTGTCGTTGCACTTTGTGCCAACTTCGCCTGCCGAACTGCCGCAGCTTGTCAAAGGAGTTCAAATATTCTCCTCAGACGTTGCCGAAACAGGGCTGTGGCAGCAGCCCCAGTAGTCGGGAATCGTGGCTTCATCGTCGAGAAGAGGAAATGGTGAGCTCTTAATGCTGCCGGCCACGGTGAACCCAGATGGCCCGTTTGGCCAAACCATGAGGCAGCAACAAGCGAATCGCCCTCATTCAGAATCTCTGTCGTGTTTGGGGAAAGGTGGGGAAGCCTATTACCTGCGAGGTGCAACGTGAGAATGGATGCCTTGGGATATGGGGCACCATGAGTAGGCACAGCTCCACCGACAATGCCTTCGATCAAACTTTGCACGCCGAGCTCGCCACCCTTCTCGGAGAACTGTCGGTGTCCGCATTGCTTGACATGATCAAATGTTTCGAGAGGATCCGGCGTTCTCAACTAGTCAAATAAGCGGTTGCTCTAAATTCCCCCCGGCTAGTGTGGATGCTTGCTGACATTTGCAGACAGCCCAGAATAATGGCAGCCTACGGGAGCTTCTCCGAGCCTGGCTGGATGCAGCCACGCTACTGGCATTTTGTTCTTACATGCTCTTAGGACGCTCAGGCGCTTGAATCATATTTCATATTGCATCGCTCCTCGTGTACTTGTGGACGATGTGTCGTTGCACTTTGTGCCAACTTCGCCTGCCGAACTGCCGCAGCTTGTCAAAGGAGTTCAAATATTCTCCTCAGACGTTGCCGAAACAGGGCTGTGGCAGCAGCCCCAGTAGTCGGGAATCGTGGCTTCATCGTCGAGAAGAGGAAATGGTGAGCTCTTAATGCTGCCGGCCACGGTGAACCCAGATGGCCCGTTTGGCCAAACCATGAGGCAGCAACAAGCGAATCGCCCTCATTCAGAATCTCTGTCGTGTTTGGGGAAAGGTGGGGAAGCCTATTACCTGCGAGGTGCAACGTGAGAATGGATGCCTTGGGATATGGGGCACCATGAGTAGGCACAGCTCCACCGACAATGCCTTCGATCAAACTTTGCACGCCGAGCTCGCCACCCTTCTCGGAGAACTGTCGGTGTCCGCATTGCTTGACATGATCAAATGTTTCGAGAGGATCCGGCGTTCTCAACTAGTCAAATAAGCGGTTGCTCTTAATTCCCCCCGGCTAGTGTGGATGCTTGCTGACCTTTGCAGACAGCCCAGAATAATGGCAGCCTACGGGAGCTTCTCCGAGCCTGGCTGGATGCAGCCACGCTACTGGCATTTTGTTCTTACATGCTCTTAGGACGCTCAGGCGCTTGAATCATATTTCATATTGCATCGCTCCTCGTGTACTTGTGGACGATGTGTCGTTGCACTTTGTGCCAACTTCGCCTGCCGAACTGCCGCAGCTTGTCAAACGAGTTCAAATATTCTCCTCAGACGTTGGCAGCAGCCCCATAGTCGGGAATCGCGGCTTCATCGTCGAGAAGAGGAAATGGTGAGCTCTTAATGCTGCCGGCCACGGTGAACCCGTTGCTGGCGTGTCTGATGTCGCGCTGCGGAACTTGAAGCGCATGGCCTCTGCGATGTCTGGTGGCAAAGTGTCCGTCTTTTTCTTTCCCGGGTAACGGCCGTTACCCGGGGGAGGGGGGGGGGGGAGGGCGGCAGGGCAACGGTAACTGCGGCCGCGGCGTGCGCCCGCCAGGGTGCGTCTGCGCCATCGGCGCATCAATCGCCTGTGTACACGACAATGCCCAAAGCCTGCGTGCAACAAGGCGCCACCTGTGTACACACCACAGTGCCTGCGTACACCACAACAGCTGCGTGCACCGTGCACTGCAGCACCACGTCGCCCATGCACACCGCAGTGCCTGCGCATACTGCAGCAACCGTTGTGTATAATAGGGTTATACAAACAACCATTGTTTTTAATAGGAGTGTCAAAGGAAGCCCAATGGAAAATGGAGCGCCTCTGCATTCCACAGAACACCGTTTTTTCCATAGAATGTGATTGAGAATGGCTATGGAAAGCGGAACGCCTCTGGATTCCACAAAGAAGCCTTTGTTTGATGAAGGAACCCAAGTCTGGAAATTGGGGCGCCTCTGGATTCCACAGAAAACGAAGTTGCATTTACACGTTCTGACAATATCCCGATGGAAATTGGAGGATTTTACACGCGTGCGCCACAACGACTGCGTACATCACAACGCCTTTACACACCACAGCAGTCGCATGTAACACAGCGCCGGTGTACACCACAGCGCATGTGTAAACCGCAGCAGCCGCGTGCATCGCAGCGCAGGTGTGCACCACACTGCCTGCGTGAACCACAGCGCCCGCGCGCACCACACCGCCCGCGGGACAAGGCGCGGGGCCGCCAAGTCTTCATCTTCTCCATGGCGATGGGTCTACAATCGATACGCGCTTAAAAGACGGGTGGTAAGGACGCAGGACCCTTGGAAGCCGAAGACGGGATTTATCTTGCATAACCTGGCCACTGAAAGCGGCAAAGGACAGGCCGCAGAGGCAAGGACACAAGGGTAACCTGGAGAAGGCGCGCGTCTGGATAAGCGCGTTGACTGTATCGCACTGCAACCGAGCACCGCCCAGAAGGAAGAGAGAGAGAGAGAGATAGCTTCCGCATGTTGCACTTGCGGAAGATTGGTCGACCCAGCCTTCGGTAGCTGAGCCATTGCCAGCTGCATTGGACGACGACGACGACGACGAAGACGACGACGACGACGACGACGACGACGACGACGACGACGACGACGACGACGACGACGACGACGACGACGACGACGACGACGACTGCGAGCGCCACAACACGCTTGTGAGCACCAATGCGTGCCGTTCAGACCACGCCACGCCCGTGAGCACAGCACCATACCTGCGGGGAGCCCGCTCCCAGCATGCAGGGGGGGGGGGCGGCAGGCCCCCCCTCTCCCACGGCACGATCATTAGCGTTACCCCAGGGGGGAGGTGGGAGGGTTGGCCTGGGTAGCGAGCGTTACTCCAGAGAGGACAAAAAAAAACCGCTCACAAAAAAACGGTGGAATGATCGCGTACCTGCTGGCGAAGAGGGACCTGCTATACGACCCCATCTACGATTGCACCCGCGGAGTTGCCGTTCAGAGTGCATCGTGGATTTGGGATGGCAGGGTCAGCCTCGGTGAGTCCCAGACGGCCTGGTCTATTCTCAAGCAGTGCGCGGATGACAACCCTACGTGGCAGATTGTAAAAGGCCCACGGCGACAACGGCTCCCGTTCGATACTTCGTCGCAGTGTATCCGAAGACGCCCTGACCAGAGAGGCCACCCAACTCAGGAACGGCGCTCTCGCTCGAGAAAACGTCGCAATTCAATCAAGGTGTGTAAGGCCTGGCTAAGACGAACGTAGCTCCTGCTCGATACCTCCTCACAGATTATTCGGAGACGCCCTGGCCAGAGATGCACCCCCGCCGCTCTGGAACCGAGCAGTCCTCCCAATTTGGTCGAGTTGGTAGATGCCAAGCTACGACGACATCGACAGCTGCTCGATACTTTGTCGTGGTTTACTCGCGTGCGCTCTGGCCACATTTTCACCACGCACAAACAACGAACCTCTCAACAAGCCTCCCACAAATTAACACATCAGCTAGCACTGCAAAAACAATTCGTCTCGCCACCAGAAATCGTGAGACTCGGCCAGGACGAGGAGGAAGTAGGACGAGCACGAGGAAAAGGGACCGTTCACGCAGTGGCTGCCCAAAGCGGCTGCCACTAGCAGGCAGCTCAGAACCTCGAAGCAGGCCAAGAGCAACCAGCCACCGGCGAAAAAGGTGAGGAGGACTGAGGGCAACGGCGGTGAACAGGAATTGCGGGCAATCAGAGGACTGGGGCAAGAATGGTGAGGAGGACTGAGGGCAACCGTGGTGAGGACTGGGGGGCAACAGTGGTGAGGAGCACTGAGGACTGGGGGCAACAATGATGAAAGGATTGAGGACTGAGGGCAACCGTGGTGAGGAGGACCGGGGCAAGAGATGCCGAGACGCGGCGCCGCACACGTCCGCAGCCGCACGCCGCACGCACACACGCACACACACACACACACACACGCACACACACACACACACTGACTGCAAGGGCTGGGTAGGGCTGCGGGGGCAAGCAAGCAGGGCAGAGGCGCACGGACGTCGCGAACGCACGCTGTGCGCAGGCCGACCCGAAGGGACGGAGCCCGCACCGAAGCCCAGGGAAACTCGAGAGCGGGACGGGGCGAAGAGAGAGGCGCAGTCTGAGGTCGGGCATGTCCTCCTACACGTGTGTTTTGGAGGAAAGAAAATGAAAGTAGTCAAACACATACCAAAAAATAGTCAAACATTATCGAAACATCGTCCCCATACTATTTATTAGCTATTCTTGGATACTGTATTCCTCCTGTAGAGGGACGGGCCCGGTCCGCTGTGCGCAAAGTCTTGTCATTGACGTGATGCATGCACAAGCGGGTGAGGGCGGGCATGCGCTCCCTGCGCGCCCTGGCCATGTGCACTCTCGCACTCAGGGGATGGCGCTCTCAATTAGGACCTCCGCGCCCTCGCGTTCCACTCAACTTGGTGGTAGCTCGGCTTTGACAGCGACGGGCTCCGTCTCGATGAGTCCCTCACGGCACGCTCTGAGACGCCCTGGAGGCCTCCAAACTTCGGCACGGCACTCTCTCCCGAAACTCCCCTCGCAACCCGCTCAAGTTGGTGCACAGCACTCTCTAAGACGCCCTGGAGGTTTCCAAACTTAGTCACGGCGCTGTCTCCCGAACCCCCCCTCGCAACCCGCTCAACTCGGCGAGTTGCGCTTGGTCGCGTTAGCTCGCATGACGGTCATGGCGGTATGTTGCGCACACAAGGTATACTGCTGCACGCGCCTCCCGGGAGCTGGTATGAAGAAGAGCCCCCCCGATCCTCCTCCTCCTCCATCTCCTCCTCCTCCTCCTCCTCCTCCTCCTCCTCCTCCTCCTCCTCCTCCTCCTCCTCCTCCTCCCCTTCCCCCCCTCCCCTTCCCCCCTTCTTTCCCCCCCCGCCCCTCCCTCCCTGCTCCGCCTCCTCACCTCCCCCCTCGTCTCCCCCATTTCCCTCCGGGATGCGTCGGACTCCTCCGACCCCGTCGCCCCCTCCGCCCCGCCCCGCCCCCCCTGTGGCCTCGGGCCGTGAGGGGGGGCGCTGCCGGCCCGGCCCCGCCGTCGGCGCGGCCACTCGCGGTGGGCGGCCGCGCTGACGCGTCGAGCCTGGAGGAGGGGGCGGGGACGCCAGGAGGAGGGGGAGGAGGAGGAGGAGGAGGAGGAGGAGGAGGAGGAGGAGGAGGAGGAGGAGGAGGAGGAGGAGGAGGAGGAGGAGGAGGGGGCGGGGACGCCAGGGGGGGGGGGCATGGCATAGGACCTGGTGGGCGACCGTCCCAAGAACTGGGGGGAGACTGGGCCTCAGAACCGGCTTCGCGGCCAGGCGTCCCAGCTGGTGGCGCGGGCAGGTGCCACTACTGCGGGGGCACCACGTCGACGCCTTGGCCATTGTCACGTCCACACGGCCTGGCTGACGTACACCCTACGAACTGCTGAAGAAATCATGGGTTAAGAAATTCATAGTCTCAGATCTTGAATTAAAACCCAACGTTTCTATTTAAAGCTTAGGATTTACATTGAAACGTTAAGAATAACCGAGACTCTGGCCGAAACCTTACGTTTTCTTAAGCATCGCCTAGGGTGTATACTCTGTGCCCTTCCGGGCCCGCTGTCTGTCTCTTTGCCTCCTGCGCCTGTCCATGCCTTCATGTCTGCTACGCCCGCCAGGCGCACTGTGTTGGCCTACAGGCCTGAGTCGGCACTCTTTGAGGACGCCAAAAGGTACCGATACCGCTCCTCCCCGGACCTCTCCCGGGGTGCGTTCTGACCAGAATTTCGAGGCGAATCCATCGGTGGCGACGAGGGCCTCCGAGGAGGCCCGAAAACGGGAAAACGGGCGAAGGGTAGCGGTATGGGCACCTTTTCCTCCTCCTCCTCCGGCTCTTTCTCGCGCACAGGGACGCTGCAGCCAGGACGCTCAAGCTCGCCCGACCATTGGCGGCGCGCACAAGGGGGTAGGGGGAGGGGGGAAGGCTTCTTAGAAGAAGGCTGCTTCTTAGAAGGCGCCGGCCTTACATCTACAAAGAAGGCCCGCGCTTTCTAAGAAGCAGGGGTGCTTCTAAGAAGCCTTCCCCCCTCCCCTTACCCCCTTCTGCGCGTGGCCAGGACCAAGCCGCAGAACTATCAACGCCTCGAGAAGCTCGACGAGGCGGTTCCCCCCCTGTTCGGCCTCTGGGGGCGGGCCCGCACCGTGCCCCCGGGCACGTCGGGCAGCGACTGCCAGAGGAAGAGCCGGCCGCGAAGAAAGGGGTGAAGGCCTCCGGGGGCCCCGCACGGAGAGACCCAATACACCTTGTTTTAGCATCCGAAGGGGGGGGGGGGGCCTGACTTCCCCATCCACTCCTTTTGAGCCCTGGGGCCCAAGATACCTCCCAGACCCCTCCAAGGAACCCCAAGAGGGCTCCAAGACCTCCAAACTGAACCCTAAGAGGGCCCCAAGAGTGGCCCAAGAGGCCCCACAAAGGGGCCCCTAGAAAATCCCTGAGCTCAGGATAGCCTCCGAAGGGTCGGATGCTCTGGGAGACGATGGCGCGGGCGATTCTTCTCGCCCGTCGCCGTGCGCCCGAGCCGCCGGGATGCTGAAGCGCACACGACCCCTTGGCCGCACCGACGAGGAGGCCCCAGAGGGCCACGCCGAGCACCAGTGGGCCCCCAGCACAAGCACCCCAGCTGGCGAACACGAGGAGGTCCCCAGGAGCCGACAAACGCAAGGCCCCACACAGCCCCGGCGGGCCATGGAGATTGCCTGAGAAGTACCAGCGCACAAGCGACAACCAATGCAAACACATAGCTACACATAGGGCTTACTACGCACCGTGGCACGGCCTTTTCTCGCCCAGGATATACCCTGCAATCAAAAGCGCGCCAGCGTCACAAACTGCCCCCCATCTGGAGGTGCCACATTCGTCGTCGTCGTCGTCGCCGTCGCCGTCGCCGTCGCCGTCGCCGTCGCCGTCTCCGTCGCCGTCGCCTTGTCCGCCGCCGCCGTCGCCGCCGCCGTCGTCGTCGTCCTCGTCGATTTCGTCGCCGATTTCGCCGTCGTCGTCGTCGTCGTCGTCGGCGTCGTCGTCGTCGACGTGTACCTGGACAGCAAGCATCACGACCGCCACAGATCGCAGCCTGGGAGAGTGGGAGCATCGGAGGAGGGCCAGCCGAGGCAGCGGTGGCCCTTCCTCCTGGCGCCTCTCGCCCTTCGGGAGCCTCCCTAGCAAAGGGGAGGCACGACCCACCGTCGTCTTCACCTTCGGCATTCACATGTCGCCTTTCGCCGGCCTGCTGGCGAACGGCGACATGTGGAGGAGGAGGAGCAGGAGGAGGAGGAGGCGGAGGAGGGCGAGGAGGAGGAGGTCAGGAAGAGGAGGTCCGTCGAGAGAGGCCAGGTGGAGGTGGAGAACGTCGGTGGAGGAGGTCGGGTCGAGGAAGTCGGGAGGCCTGGTGGTTTGGAGGAGGTCAGGTGGAGGAGGAAGAGACGGAGGAGAAGGAGGAGGAGGAGGACAAGGAAGAGGAGGAGGAGGAGAAGGAGGAGGAAGAGGAGGAGGGGAGGAGGAGGAGGAGGAGGGGAGGAGGAGGAGCGAAGGAGGAGGAGGAGGAGGAGACGAGGAGGAGGAGGAAGGAGAAGAGAGGAAGAAAGGGTGGTTTGGAGCACGGCGGGGAGAGGCGGAGGGCGGAGAAGAGAAGGAGGGACGAGAGAGAAGGGACGAGGAGGAGGAGGAGGAGGAGGAGGGAGGAGGAGGAGGAGGAGGGAGGAGGAGGGGGAGGAGGAGGAGGAGGAGGAGGAGGAGGAGGAGGAGGAGGAGGCGGACGACGAGGAGGGGACGAGGAGAGAAAGGGATGAGGAGGAGGAGGGGGGAGGAGGAGGAGGAGGAGAGGGCGGAGGAGGAGGAGTGAGGAGGAGGAGGAGGAGGAGGAGGAGGAGGAGGAGAAGAGTGAGGAGGAAGAGGAGGAGGATGAAGGGGGGAGGGAGGGTAGGAGGTAGTAGGAGGAGGAGGAGGAAGGAGGACGAGGAGGAGAAGGAAAGAGAAGAAGAAGGGTGGTGGAAGCCACGTGCGGGGGAGAGGCACGGAGGCGGAGAAGAGAAGAGGGACGAGAGAAAGGACGAGGAGGAGGAGGAGGGGAGGAGGAGGAGGAGGAGGAGGAGGAGGAGGAGGAGGAGGAGGAGGAGGAGGAGGAGGAGAGAGGAGGAGGACGAGGAGGGGCACGAGGAGAAACGGAGAGGAGGAGGGGGGAGGAGGAGGCAGGAGGAGGAGGAGGAGGAGGAGGGGGAGGAGGAGGGGGGGTTGAGGGAGTGAGCATGGGATGGCGGGGACCGAAGAGGAGGAGGAGAAGGGGGGAGGGCGGGTATAGGGAGGATGAGGAGGAGGGAGGAGGAGATTGAGGATTGGGGAGGGAGGGAGGGTAGGCACAGGAGGGAGGGAGGGATGAGGAGGAGGGGGGGGAGGAGGAGAAGGGAGGCAGGGAGGGAGGGAGGGAGGGATGAGGAGGAACGAACGAACGAACCCTCACATCGGACAGCTGTCCGGGCCTTCTAAGACCAGGGTGGGCGGGCATGCTAAGACCAGGTGGGATGCGGAGGAGGAGCGGCGGGAGATCCGCAGAACCTGCCAGTGCCCGAGAGGGGAACGTACCGACAGGCTGCAGCAGCACGTTCACGAGTCGGCCCGGCCGTGACCACCAGAAGCTTCGTGCGCGGATGGCCCGCGCGCCCAAGGCCAAACTGGGGGAGGGCTTCTGGGTGTCGCCGGGGTTCGAATCTACCACGTCTTCCTCTTCGCTTCTCTGTAGCTGGATCACACGTGCCCGTCCTCTGTCCTCCCGCCTTTGTCCTCATTCTGCGCGTATCCTTCATCCGTCATCCCCTTCTTCCTGGTCAGGGGAGGATGCGGCGGCAAAGCCAGAGGACGGAGAATCACGAAATAGGAAATCTGAGGAGAAGGAAAAGGACAACTAGGAAGAGAAGAAAGGGCGACTTCAGCGCCAATTGCCAGTCGCCCTGGAGAGAAGAAATCGATGGAGAATCCAAGACTGGCGATGGTGGCCAGTCGGGCGGAAGGACCTTTGGGCCCGGGGAGGAGAGGACCGATGACCTGGCACGTCAAGGGCTACTTGTGTTTCGACGTCGTGCGCGCCCCAGCACATCGGCAGGAAGCGCCGTCCAGCCTGGAATCAGCACCCCCCCTCTTCGAACACTCGCCAGCCACTCCAGTGCCAGACGCGGGGGATGCAGCCACAGCAACCTACCTCAACGCTCCATTCGACCCTTTGCCAAAGGCCCTGGGGTGCCGGGCCACGATCCAGAAGGCCGGGTCCGCTACTTCGCGCGAAACTGCACCGTCCATGAAGCGCTTGGCCTCCGTACTGGCACCATCGTTGAGACGCCCTTAGGATCCACGCCTGCATAGGCCTCGTCGACAGACAGACAGACCAGACCAGACAGACAGGCAGGCAGGCAGGCAGGCAGGCAGGCAGACAGACAGACAGACAGGCAGAGGAGCCGAACGCCGTCCGGCGCGTAGGCGGAATGTGGCAGCAAGCTTTCCTTTCTTGCTGGCGCGATCGAAGTGTAATTGAGCACCGAGGGCGAAATTTCTTGGCGAGATGGCGCCGGCTGCGCTCGTCGCCGATGCCGTGGTGCATGGACCCCATCGACGTGCCGCACTCACCCCGACCGCCAGGATTCGAAAAGAAGATCCCGGGCCAAGGCAACCTGGCGGCGCCGTCGGGACCACTGCCGGGAAATCCCCTCTGGGGCCATCGCGTCGTCGAGTTCGCGCGCCTCCGACACCCTTCAGGTGGGACCCACAGCGTTGCCGAAGTCCCTCTGGCACTCCTGCCCAGGCCCTAGGTCCATCTTGTGGTCGCGTGGGCGCTAGGGTGAGCACCTACACGTGCAGCGCCCGGGTCGTCATCCTGTGTCTTGCCCCTCCTCTCGGGGCAGCGCTCGAGCAGGACAGGGGTGGTTGGCGCATTTCCAGGGCCACTTGCGCCACCACCTGCCCGAGGACGGATGATTCCGCCTGGCGTGGAGATCCAGAAGGACACAGGAACAAAAAGGATAATGAGGAGGAGGGCATAGGAACAAAGTGGAGGAGGAAGAGGAGGAGGAGGAGGAGGAGGAGCAGGAGGAGGAGGAGGAGCCTCTCTCCTCCTACTCTTCCTCCTCCTCCTCCTCCAGACCTTCGTCGTCCTGGGCTCCTCCTCCGAGGAGGAGACGGAGGAGGACAAGGATGAAGACGAGGCGGAAGAACGATCGGCGGCAAGTTCTGTGGCCCGGGGCCTCTCGGAAACGCTGCGTGCGGCACTGTCTGGAGGGAGCCTAGTGGCAATGGTCCATCCGAAATTCGCCCTTGCTCCCTGCCCAAGCAGTAGCATATGGATTCTGCCATTCCATCACCCGCCCTTTGAATCCCTAGCCTCCCACGTAATATGGGGGTGCTGCACACTGGTTGTCGTAGCGCTCGCCGCTCGTCACCGCCCCGACTGTAGCGCAATTTCCGGGCACCGCGCCAGAGATGAATTTCGCACCTGTCGCCTTCCACTTTTCGAGCCCAGTCGTGCCTCTGTCGGTCAGCACTCCTTCGGTATATCTCCGACGTTGCCTCTGCAACTCGTTACCCGCTGCTGTGAGCATTTGCACTGAACGCTCCGCTGCTTCCTCATCCGTTTGCCCCGGGCTGGTTGATGGTGTGCTCGCCTTGTGCAGGGCATGTAGCAAGCCTCCTGGCACCCCACTCGCCTCCTGCTGCAAGCATCGGCAGCCGCTGGGCCAGTGGGGACACCGAGCAAGCATAAGAGCGGGCCTCGTACCTGGCGTGTGAATCAGCATGAGTTGAGCAGGAGAGGGAAGCCAGGATAATGAGGAGGAGGAAACAAAGGAAAGACATGAGGAGGAATACGAAGAGGAAAAGGATGAGGGAGGGCAGGAGCGCGAGGAGAAGGAAAGCAATGATGAGGCAGAGGAGGAGCGAAAGGATGATGAGCGGACGCATCCTGCGCAAGACCAGCCACCCCATCAGAGGTCCCTCGTTCAGGAGGGGTGCCGCGAGCAGACCCTCTGCCCTCTCAGTCTTCCCACTCCTCCTGCTCCACCTCCTCCTCCTCCTCCTCCTCCTCCTCCTCCTCCTCCTCCTCCTCCTCCTCCCTTCCACACCACCGCCACCACCACCACCGCCATCACGCACGCACGCACCTGGCTCACCACCAAACCACCAAGACGCCACACCACGTCACACCACAGCACACGCGCACACACGCGCACACACACACACACCACCACCACCACCACCACCACTACCACCATCACCACCACCACCACCACCACAACCACGCACACACGCACGCACGCACGCGCACCATCACACACTACGCACGCGCGCGCGGAGCCACAGGTCCGCTACGACACGCGTCCGCGGATAGAGAATATCAACGCCATGGTAAGGGATCAGATATGACGCGAGCGCACATAGCTTGTCCCCTCCTCCTCCTCCTCCTCGTCCTCCTCCTCCTCCTCCTCCTCCTCCTCCTTCTCCTGAATGCAGTCGGGAACGTCTGCATTGCCTGTCGTACCGGCGGCCCCAGCGACACGCTGTGCCTTGCCAGCGGATAGCGTGTGGCTCCGCCCTGCGGGGCGGGAGGCTCGGGAAGGCTCGGGACGCTGACGCTTGGGGATGGGGATGTGGATCGCGTGTCGCGCCGCAGCGTGGCGGGCCACAAACGGCGGAGCCACACGAACTCCGACGGATCCCGACCGTGGTCTTCCCCTTCCTTCTCCTTGCCACCCTCCTCCCCCTCATTCTCCTGAAAACCCTTTTTCTCTTCTCCCATCTCCTCCTGGTATGGAGGATGAGGGAGAAAAAGATGTTTCTCATCCTCCTCCCGCGTCCTCCTCCCGCGTCCTCCTCCTCCTCCTCCTCCTCATCCTCCTCCTCCTCCTCCTCCTCCTCCTCCTCCTCCTCCTCCTCCAGCCTTCTGGCGTGGCGCGGCAGGCGAGGGGCCTGCATCCATGGCATGACCACTCCTCCTCCTCCTCCTCCTCCTCCTCCTCCTCCTCCTCCTCCTCCTCCTCCTGCTCCTCCTCCTGCTCCTCCTCCTTCCCCCCCTCTCTTCCCCCTGCCTCCTCCTCCCCCCCCTCCTCCTCACTCCTCCTCCTCCTCCTCCCCTCCCTTCCTCCGCCTTCCTCCTCCCCCTCCCTCCTCTCCTCCTGCCTCCTCCTCCGCTTCTCCTCCTCCTCCTCCCCTCCTCCTCCTCCTCCTCTCCTCTCCCCTCCTCCTCTCCTCCTCCTCCTCCTCCCTCCTCCTCCCTCCTCTCCTCCGTCCTCCTCCTCCTCATCCTCCCCCTCCCCCTCCTGTCCCCTTCCCCTCCTCCCCTCGTCCCACATCTACCCCTGCTCATCCGCCGCCTCCTCCTCTTCTTGTACTGCTCCTCCTCCTCCTCCTCCTCTCCTCCTCCTCCTCCCTCTCCCTCTCCTCCTCCTCCTCCTCCGCATCCATCATCATCATCATCATCATCATCATCATTCACATCATTCATCATCATCATCATCATCATCATCATCATCATCAGCAGCAGCAGCAGCATCATCATCATCATCACCACCACCATCATCATCATCATCACCATCACCATCACCATCACCATCACCACCACCACCACCTCCATCATCATCATCATCATCATCATCATCATCATCATCATCATCATCAGCAGCAGCAGCAGCAGCAGCAGCAGCATCATTATCATCCATCCCCTGTCCTGATATATACTGTGGGGGGGCATGGGGCATTGGACAAGGACCCATTGGATAAAGAATCCAGGGTTTGGAAGCGAGTCGAGGGCCAACGTGGATTGGCCATGGATATCACCGCCGCCCTCGTCGGATAAGGAACCCGTCCAAGGTCTGAGGCCTCCTGGGCACATTCCTTAACCACCGCCCCCACCGTATGTAACTCCTCCCTGTCGGAACCCCAGACGTGTCGGCAGGGCGGGCCGGGCGGGCCACCTGAATTCTCCACACCATGTGTGATCATGAAGCTTGAAAGTTGCAACATGTTCATGCGTGGAGGGCCGTTCGTTTTAAAGATGTGGCTCTCGCACTAGCGCCGCGCACATTCGCCTACAACGTCTGCAACACTTTCTCAGATGGACGGCGGATCGTTTTCGTAATGTGGTTCTCGCCTCAGCGCCGCGCACATTCGTCTTGAAAAACTTGTACAAGCTGTAAAGACGGATGGCGGGTCGTTCCGCAAATGTGGTTCTCGCCTTCGCACCGCTCACATTTGTCGGAGCAGCTTGCAACAAGTTCAAGGATGGAGGGCGGTCTATTTTCAAGCTGTGGCTCTCGCCTTGGTGCCGACCACGCGGTGTTGAAACGTTTGCAGCAATGTCAACGGTTCGCATGGTTGACGTCTCAAAATATGCAGGACGCAGCGGTCACGTAAATCCGTGGTGCATGAATACCGAGACGCGTGTTCTGGCATGGTGTCAGGCTGTCAGGACGCAGCCGCCACTTTGATTAGCAACGCTGTCACCTTAAGGTGCTTCGGCACGGTAGAAGGTTCGAACGCGGTTGCCTTCCAGCGGGGCACTTCCCGCAATTAAGTTCACTTGTTTTCGGGATCTAGGGAGAGGCAGCCTGGAGGGAGGGTATGCTGCAACATCGCTGACGCGTCTCGGGCGTACACTCGTCATCCTCATCTTCCTCCACCTCCTCCTCCTCCTGCTGCTGCTGCTCCTCCTCCTCCATTCCTTCCCCTTATGAACAACTCCTCCCTGTCGCACCCCGAGGCCAGCTTTTAGGGCGGGCCGGGCGTTTCGCCTGAGACTTCCTCACGACTTATGACCTGGAGCCTAACCAAACAACAGCTTCACAGATGGAGGGCGGGTCGTTTTCAAACTATGGCTCTCGCCTCCGCGCCGTGCATATTCGTTCTCAAATTTGCAAGGGCTTCACGGTTTGAGGGCGGGTGGTTTTCAAAATGTGGCTCTCGCCTTAGCGCCGCGCACATTCTTGATACAAACTTTGCAAGAGTTTCACGGATTGAGGGCGGGTGGTTTTCAAAATGTGGCTCTCGCCTCAGCGCCGCGCGCATTCGTTTTAAACCTTTGCAGGTGCTTCACGGATTGAGGGCGGGTGGTTTTCAAAATGTAGCTCTCGCCTTAGCGCCGCGCACATTCTTGACACCACATGTGCAAGATATTCACGGATTGAGGGTGGGTGGTTTTCAACATGTGGTTCTCGCCTTGACGCCGCGCACATTCGGTTTAAACATTTGCGAGAGTTTCACGGAATTGAAGGAGGTTTCTTTTCAAGCTGTGGCTCTCGCCTTAGCGCCGCGCGCATTATTGATACAAACTTCCAAGGGTTTCACGGGTCCCCATGATCGGCGTACCAGAAATGGCGTCTTGAAAGGATTTACGGTTTGAGGGCGCAGCAGTTGTGATGATTCGCGGAGTTGAGGTCCAAGGAATTAGGTTCTGGCACGTTTCAGGATCGTCAAGACGCAGCAATCAGGTTCATCCGTGGCGTTGGAATACCGAGACTAATGCTTTGGAATGTCTCATGGTCTTCAAGCGGTTGTCTTCCAACGAGGCAGGTCCCTCTGTGGAAGTGAACCGTTGAAGGGGCATGTAAAGAGGGAGCTTGGGGGGAGGGCTTATTCCAACACCGATGGTGACTCTTGGGTTTACACTGGTCCTCCTCCTCCTCGTCCTCCTCCTCCTCCTCCTCCTCCCCCTCCTCCTCGTCCTCCTCCTCCTCCTCGTCCTCCTCGTCCTCGTCCTCGTCCTCGTCCCTCCTCCTCCTCTCCTCCTCCTCCTCCTCCCTCTCTCCCCTCCTCGCCCCTCCTCCTCTCCCTGCGGCAAGCGGAGCGGTGGTGGGGGTGTGTGTGTGGGGGGGGGGGGGGAGGGCCCTGTCGCCAGCTGCGCGCGCGCGGGAGGGAAACTGCTGAGCAGGCGCCTGTGCGCGCCAGCGCCGGGGCGCAGGCCAGGCCTCCTCCTCCTCTGCTCCTCAGCTCGTGTCCTCGTCCTCCTCCTCCTCCTTCCTCCTCCTCCTCCTCCACTCCCTCATCCACCTCCACCCCTCCCCCTCCTCCTCCTCCCCTCCTCCTCCTCCTCCCGCCTCCTCCTCTCTCCTCCTCCTCCTCTGCTGTACCCGTCGTGCCCCGTGGCCCCATTCGTATCCCCATCTTCGTCCCCCTCCACTTGCTCCTCCTCCTCCTACTCCCTCCTCTCCTCCTCCTCCGCCTCCTCCATCTCCTCCTCTCCCCCTCCTCCTCCTCCTCTCCCTCCTCCTCCTCCTCCTCTCCCTCCTCCTCCTTCTCCTCTCCTTCTTCTCCTTCTTCTCTTATTCGCCTCCTCCTCCACCTCCTCCCTCCCTCCCCCTCCTCCTCCTCCTCCTCCTCCTCCTCCTTCTCCTCCTTCTCCTTCTGCTCCTTCTCCTCCTCCTGCTGCTGCTGGTGCTCCTCCTCCTCCTCCCCCTTCTCCTCCTCCTCCACCTCCTCCTCCTCCTCCTCCTCCTCCTCCTCACCTGGCTGCGCGAGCCAGTGGAGGGCCAGGAGGGACTGAGAGGGGAGGCTGAGAAGGGGACAGAGGAGGAGAGAACCGAAGAGGGTGAGGAGGACGAGGCGGACAATCATACCTTAGGGGGAGATGGGAAGAGGAGACGACACGTGCAGAAAGGCGGGTGGGATGATTTCGCATCTCCTACCACCTCTCCCTCTTTCCTCCTCCCACCTCTCCCTGCAACTTCGCCCTGCCCGTCTTAGCAGCATTCTAGATTCTCCTGCTTCTCGTCCCCGCGAGACAGCGCGGGCAGGGGCTCGGGAGAGGAGGGGCAAAAAGGGGGAGAGGAGGGAAGGGGGAGAGGAGGAAGATGAGCACGGCGACGAGGGAGAAAAGGGAGGAGGAGGAGGATCATGAAGAGTAGGAGGAGGACGGGTAGGGGGGCTGAGGGGGAAAGGGAGGGGGGAGGAGGGTGAAGAGAGAGAAAGATCGGATAATGAGAGAAGGAGGAGGGAGAGGTGTGCCATCCCGAGACGGAAAATAACACACACGACTGGGACGACCAGGGCCAGGAAGAGGAAGGGGAGGAATACAACGACAAGAGGGAGGACTCTATACGACGAGGAGGGGGCTTCTTCCCCAACGCCGGCGGATGGCCACCCAACCAGGAAAGCGCGAGAACGCTCGACGGTGGGAAGACGCTGGAAACACGAAGCAACCACATCGACGAGATGGACGGTCGCGTGGCTCGCATGTCTCCTCGTCATCCCCGAGCACAGAAGCAACAAAGCAGGAAGCCTAAACAGGAAAACGCTTGAACAGTAGAAATTCGAGCCCTAAGTGATCTCGAACACCAGTTTCAGGCAGCCTCGAACAATTCGGTTCCTAAGCGAACTCGAAAATCCGAACCCCCAGCGCGCGCACCTCTTCCTCCATCGCTTTGTCTCCACAAGCACTGCTTGCACTTAGGAGGATCTCGTGCTTCCCTTCTCTGAGGAGCTGGGCCCACCCTCGGGCCTGGCGGCGCCGCTCCCGTCCGCAGGGGCACCACACTGCCTCCAACACACGTCTCACGCCACGTAGACTGTACCACATAGCTCACAGCACGTCGTACGTAGATTACGACCCCATGGGTCTACGACCTGCCACCGCACAACGTACACAGCACAGCCTGCACGGCATAGCCTGCGACGCATATACCGGGCCACATGACTCACACCTCACAGTTTACACAACATAGCTTACACCACATGGTTTGCACTGCCGAGCTGTCACCATATAGCCAACACCACAGACATTGCACAGCACAGCTCGCACCGTGTAGCTCCCACAACGTGGGGTTACACCGCGCATTCTGCACCGCATCGCTTCCACAGCTCATCCCACGCCACATGGCTCGCGTCACACAGGCTGCACAGCGCGGTCTGCACCACAGAGCTTGCACAGCGTAGCCTGGACCACATCGCTCCCGTCGCAAGCCCCAAACACAATACAGTCAACCCGCGGAGTAAGGATGCACGATGAGGATGCAAGGGCCTTGGAAAGCCACGTTGACGCTTTTCGAGCGGAGCGCCGCCGAATACCGAAGGACGCAAGGGGTACCCTAACGCACCCCCATCCTTGCCGAACTGGCGCCTGGGATGGACCGAAGGGGCAAGGACGCAAGGCTAACCTGGGACAAATTGCTCATCCTTTTGGAGGCCTGGAAAGTGGCACCAACACCAGAACAGGGGGTTGCCTCCACATGGGAAAGATGATCCTAGATTTCGGTGTTGGTGGAAATATTTCGGTCACCTTGGAAGCCAGAATCTTACCACCACCACCGAGATCGGGATCTCCTTCCCTCGGTGGAAGCACACCGCCGATCTTGGCGTTGGTGTTAATCTCTAGGCCTGCGAATGTGTTAAGTGTTAAGATTGTTGTCAGATTCTGTTTACTTTATTTAATAAAAAATAATGGCTGAATGCAACAAAAATGTGGAAATGAAAGTTATCCTTGCAATTTAACTACAAGTGTTACACATCTATTACATATACATAAAAAATAATCTTTATGTGTTATATTAGTTTTATTATCACTGAAGTCATTTAATAAATTATTAGCATGATAACCAAACGTGTTTTCAAAAAATAGCTGTTTATCACATGGGTGTGCACAGCGCACCGCGCACCCCCCACGGTGCAGTCCGCCGCTCCCCGGGGGCCCACCCTGGCCGAGACGCCTCCTCGTGCACAGCTCGCCCCCGCCGCACCCCCCCAGGGCGTGTCGGCAGGGCAGGGGGAGGAGGAGGAGGAGGAGGAGGAGGAGGAGGAGGAGGAGCAGGAGGAGGAGGAGGAGGATAATAAGGAGGAGGAGGAGGAGGAGGAGGAGGAGGAGGAGGAGGAGGGGGAGCAGGAGGAGGAGTAGGAGGAGGAGGAGGAGGACGAGGAGGAGGGAGGAGGAGGAGAATGAGGAGGAGGAGGTGACGGAGGAGGAAGAGGAGGGCGGAGGGTCAGGGGGTGGCGCTTCGCCCGACTCCCTCGCTGCCTCGGATCGCGCCGCTCGGCTTCGCCTCTCGCGCTCGCCTGTCGCACCCCGAGGCGGGTCGGCAGGGCCGGCTGGGCGCTTCGCCCGAGGCGCGGTCCCGAATTGCGATCCTGCAGCTCGTCACTTTGCAGGAGCTCCACGGGTGGAGGGCCGGTCGTTCCCGAGATGCGCCCCTCGCCCTGGCGCCGCACACGCTCGTCCAACGATGGAGAGCGGCTGCTCTGAAAAAGGTTGCCCTCGCCTTTGCGCCGCGCATGCTCTGGCCCCCAAGGAATGCAGGAGCTTCAGGGACGGAGGGCGCCTCGCTTTCGACATCTCTCCCTCGCCGCAGCGCCGCGAATTTAGATACGAAAGGTTTACAACAGGTGCAAGGACTCGCATCGCTGAAGTCCCAGAAATGGGGTTCCGGAGCGATGCATGATTGTCAGCGCGCAATCACGTTGATTCGCGGTGTTGAATTCTCAGGAATGGCGTTCGGACGCGATCTAAGGTTGTCAGGGCGCAACTATCAAGTTGATTCGAAGCGTTGAAATTCCAAGGCTCTTCTGGCACGAATTAAGATTCGCAGACGGTTGTCTTCTAATCCGGCACTGGCTGCCATGGAAGTCCGCCGGCCCTCCCACAGGCTGCGTGGCGGAGGTCTCCAACTTCCAATATTATTGTGCTACTTTCTGCTTCCTACTGTGAAGGTTTCTGTCCTCGCGATGTGGGGGATCCAAAAACGAGCCTGGTCACCACTCCCAATTCATGCTGCCTGCATTTCTGGTCGGTCTGGGGCGCGTGGAAACGCAGTAAATCCACGCCCTGAAGCAGTTTTCCCTCGTAATTTACGCCAGATTCACATTCCCTATGTCCTTTTGCATTACGCCGAAATCTTGCCATCGAGGCCAAATTCCCTGGTTGATGCACGCCAGATTCGCGATCCCGAGGCCAGAGTCCCTTGGTAAATTGCGCCAGCTTCGCGCTCGCGAGGCCAGAATCGCTTCTGCGCCAGCTTCGCGCTCGCTGGGCCAGAACTCCCCTTGGAGAAGCACCGGCCGTGCGCTCCTGGGGCGATCCGTCCCTTCTGTAACTCACGCCAGGCTCGCAATCCCGAAGCCAGAATGGCATACTCCAGATTTCGTAATAGAAGGGAGGGGGTCTGGACCCTCCAAGACAAGCCATTTCAGACCTCCCCCGTGGGAGAACCCTCCAAAACACCGTCCCCAGACCCCCCAGGGCCCTCCAAGATGGCCTGGAAGAGACCCCCTTCGAAATGAGACCCCCCTCCCTTCATTACGAAATCTGGAGTACATGACTAAAAGGGTTCGCGCTCCCGAGGCCAGAATCTCTGGCGGACTACACCGGACTGCCGCCCCCCGAAGCCAGTGTCCTCACGCAAGCTGCGCAAGCTTCGCACCTCCGAGGCGACGATTTCCTCCCCTGCGAGTGGCGCCAGGCTCGCGCCCCCGAGGCCACCATCCCCTTCCGACGACGTCGCGATTGCCAGGCGTCCTCTCGCACGAGACTCCGATATTGCTTCAGGCTGGCACCCAGGCATCCCAGCATCGCTCCTGCATGGTCGTTGGTGCGTCTTGGGTTTGCACTGGTCCTCATCCTCCTCCTCTCCTCCTCCTCCTCCTCCTGCTCCTCCTCCTCGACCTCGTCCGTGTCCTCCTCCTCGTCCTCCTCCTTCTCCTTCCCTTCTCTCCCAAACTGTCTCTCCAGAGCACAGCCTGTGCGGGGCCCGAGGAAAGCAGGCCCGTGCACGTGCGGCACTGACCTCGCGCGGCCTCGGCCGCGCCCATGGGCCGGGAGGCTCAGGAGGAAGGTACAGTGAGCGGGGGGGGGAAGAGGAGGGACGGGATGGGGGAGAAGGAAGGTGGAGAAGAGGATGTGTGGGACAAGGGGGGAGGAAGGACGGGAAAAGGGGGGAAGAGAAGGGGAAGA